GTATGTGAAGATTTCAATTAAGATAATATGCTATAAATATTGACTGTTTATAAGAAAAGTACCATTCTTGAAAAAAGATTCCGATTAAGATTATTTTAACGCGTTCTTGACAAAATCCATTTCACTGAAAGCAAACTGGTTAGTCCCCTCCCAGCTCAACAACAGTGCCATCTATCTCTACTTGTCTGCATATAATACTTATTTAAATAGTCATATAAATGTCCAAGCCTAAAGAAAATGTATGGAAGTCAGACATATACTTGCCAGCTTGTCTTTATAATATGGCGATTTTTGAATGATCAAATAATTGTTTAATATTTATTGACTGAGTATGTAGAAACTTGGCTTGCACAAATTACAGTTAACCATTAAAACATCTTGCTTCAATACAACGGTTGCCGTGATCACAGTAGCGCTTGGCCTTTAAAAGAATTTAAAAATGGCATAAATGTGGCATAGATTCCGCAAACTGAAATTTATATTGTTTGGTTAAGGCCAGATATCTGTTGAGATCCCGGCAGTACTAAGTAGTGCAAATTAAAATTTCAATGGCATAAATACGCTCATAGAAAGTATATATTCAGCCCTGATGAGATTTTAATAGCATATAATTAGGAAGAATGTCTCTAGGAATATGGCGCACAATATTTTGAGCCGTATGCTATTTATTCAAATTATTATTGTACTTTTTTCATTGACGTTTTCTGTCACATAATAGAGCATGGCACTGCTGTTATCAGATGGACTCTTCTGTTTTATCATAAGCAAATCCTTGATTCATTGAACGTGTTCCTTATATTTAAGGCGTGAATCAGAGGTTATATAACGTAAACTTTGTATTTTTGCCGAAAACCATTCAAGTATATGAGAATTCATGATATCCTATAGTGCACTTTACTTCTTGTTATCTACTTACCGCTTTCCGCCCGGCTGTTTACTACTGATATTTATGGTACTTTTACTCCAGCGCAAGACCGCATAACTTCCTTAATTTTTTTGAAGAGCTACTGATACACTTTTCTTTAAGACTTCCGCATATAAACAAATCACAAAGTTGAGTCAGTTGAGGCAAAGTTGAGTCATTACCGTTAAACTCGACACGCGTTAATCGAAAACGAATCTTTCCGCGTAATGCTTCTCCATAATCAATTTTTAGGTAAACTATATTCGCTTAAAAACTAACGCATGAAAATCGACTGTGAAGGGGAAAGCCTCACGACATGCTTCTTGCTAACTTCAATTATTCTGACGAAATGCTGCGACCCCACAGAAAACTCAAAATTTAAACAGTTTCATTTATTGCGGGTGTTTACCCACTTCTATTCCGCTTTGTTAATATTTTTTCTGCCAGCAAGTACCCTCCGCATGGCTGAAGTACAGGGAACGCTCTAATCACCTGATTCACTTGGTGAGTTAACCTTGAAGTCTTCTGATGAATTCTACATTGGTTGCTTAGGTAAGTGCGCTTTGACAGTCACCCTACTTTATTGCACTTGGCGGTTTTATAAGTTGCAGTAGGCTAAGCCTATAAGTTGACCAACATATGATCATACTCATGAGCTCCGTTGCGGTCTCTAAAATGAGGTAGTTAGAGCATTGAATGCACTCAAGTCCTGTCCTTCCTGAGGCGGGTGCGAATCCCACCGTGACGACAGAGGTTTTAGCAGCTGAACCACGTGAGTGATACGGATGTAACAAAAACACCTGTTAATCATTTTATACATAGCACCACACGAGCGCTCTCCGTGAAAAAAAAGTCAACTAGGGATACCGTAGGTCTAATAAAAGGAAGCGTGCGCGCATTCCATTACTAACATATACGCCACGTCAATTCGCGGATCGTTATTAGCGGCAAGGTACCGGCGCCGTTAACACTAAGCGAATTAGGGTACTGTAGCACATTAAAGCACACTCCTTAAGCGGAAATGGCAACAAAGATCACTGAAAAAGTAAAAATTACGTATTTTTCCGAGCTGTTTAGGTATTTGTCATAAAGTAAAAGAGAGCACAGTAGTTTTACTGCAAGAAAAGTCTACAAGAATTTGGTCGCTAATAGGAGTCAGGACCCGTATGCCGATGATCAGGCTCCCAAGGGTAAATGTATAATAACAGGCGAGCATGAAATAGTAGCTGCTTTTGGCTTATTTAAAACACCTTGAGTTGGTTATATAATAACCCCAGTGCAGTGTGCCCAGACCTATGCATATATTAACAACTCACCTGAACGTAGCTCAGTTATTTTTAGATGTCAATCAATCACTCTTAAATGAATAGTTACGTGAGGCATATCACCAGCACCTGCAGCATTCGGGGTAGTGTTGAAACGCGGGTTCCATAATGTTGTCGAAGAAACACTGGATAACACCCATGGTCATGTGGGCTATTTGTGAATTTGCATAGATTTTCGTATGAGTGTTGGTTAAGGCGTAAATGACAGGAAAAACACAACATAGTCTTAGATAACTGCTGGCAGAATACAGTCATAGGTTTCCTGGGCATTATGATTAGCGTTCATGTCGATGTAAGTGGTAGTATTAGCTTTAGGAGAGTTTGTGTTAGGAAAGGGGTTAGGACCAAAATGTGGGTGGGGATTAAATT